TCACTCGTTAGCGGTTGAAACACTTCTAGGAAATTCACTGTTGCGAGTCAAACGGAGTCTGTACGGACTTCGACTTCGACTGCGACCTCTTTTGTAACTCTTTCAACTCCCTCAGTCTGCTCCACCCACTCGTTTGCTGTGGAAGTACTTCTATGAAGTTCGGAGTCCATACGGAGCCCGCTCCGCTCGCAGTGGCATAATAGTCTCTCCTTTATCATGAATGGACATAACATGGAATTTTAACGGCAATGAATTATTTACATTTATTTATTGCATCATGAGTACAGAGATTGGTATCGCATATAAACATGGATCCTGTTAGGGTATTGCAATCTAATTATTATTTATATATACTTAACTATATATACTTAATTATCAAATTTATACTTTAATAAAAACTCTACAATTAACAATACAAAGATCGAATAATTAGAAATAATTCCTTGGATCCGGTCGGATTCGAACCAACGTCTTCTAGCAAACCGTGCCAGATGATATGCCAACTAAGTGGACCTCACGAATTTTTCTATGTGCTTGTTTGTTGGATCTTCTCTGTATTTGGTTTTTCAACGACTTTTTAGCTTTTACTCTAATAAAAATTCAAATATGCATTATTAGTTAAAAATTACTAAATATGTACGTATATTCGAAGTATGTGGTTCGTGAGAGAGAAAATTTATCCATTTTGCTCATAGCTCTATCTGACAAGAACTCTTTTATTGAGTTGTAAGTAACTTTTAGATACAAAGAACAAACTTAACTAGTTTTTAAAATGTGTATAGTGTGTCCTCTATTTTCAATATGTCTGGTATTTTATTACATATGAGTACAGTCCTGAAATCATTTCTATACATCTCTAGATTCGGTGTAGGGAGGGATAATTTGTGTTCACTTCGATTACTTTTAACTGGTTCAAAAATGGATATGTGTTTTCTAGCAAACGTTGCAATTTCCAATATGTATATTGACGGTAGAGTTTGGTTTAGTTTTGTAAAATGAGGTCTGCAGGAAACTCTCTGACGCAATTTTAATGTTATTATTTTTTTAATTATGAAGAGGTCGTCGGCATTAGTGCTGCGGCCCCACATGGTAATTCCGTATCGGAGCCAAGCGTACGCGTATGCTATGCTATGTAATAAATGTCTATTCTATTCTTCTATTCTACGCTACACAATGAAATGGCATTGAAATCCTGAACGGAATTATGTACAGATTTTTACCACCAGAATGGTAAATATTATGATCCTTTGCATGTGAAACTACAGGCAGGCACAGGACCGTGCCCCTCAGATCTTTACGATTCAAAGCTCTGAGTTAAATGAGTGGCATTGCAATTCGGATAGGCGTGACGCTTACCACCACTACTTGTTTCTGCCGTCACTTAATACCGTAAAAAAAGTCTACTATTAATTTATTTAAATAGGTCCCTGATGTCTCATAATTAAAAAGCGGGTCGTTCCCGGTGCATTTCATCGTTATTTGATCCATTAATTAAACATTTTCAAACGTAAAGCCTAATGTAAAGGTCACAATAGCTATTAGATTTGACCTTTAAACGACAGAACATGTGCCTCATTTCCGGCGGGAATCCTTACAGACTTTACTTACTTTAGGTATTAGTATGTTTAATGTAATTTGTACAGGGTCAAGAGCACGTCAAACTTGACACTTATAATAGCAGTAGAGCTCCATGTGAAAGAGTATCCAGGGTAGTACTGCCACCTTACCTTCGTCCTGCCGCCAAGCAGTAACGTGTGCATTACTACGGTCCGATTTTGAAGGGTTATTATTATTAGGGTTGCTTCACTTGGGGCATACGTAGCCCCACATCAGACACACAATTCCACGCCTGGACAGCTCTTAACTTTATACAAAGCACAAGTCCGATCTTGCATGGAGTACTGCAGTCACCTGTAAGGTGGCTCAGCGAAGTATCAACTTGAGGCTCTTGATTCGATTGAGCGCAGAGCCAGAAGACTTATTGGGGACGTTAAGCTCGAATCTAAACTCCATAGTTTAGCTTACTGGCGCAAAGTTGCCCGTCTGTCGGTTTTTTACAGAATATATTTCGGTGCTATATAGCTCAATCAGCTCATCCCGCCCGCCCCCTTTTACCATCGGACATCCAAACGTACGGCGGGATATCTTCCTTACTTGGTCGATATTCCCTTCAGGCGTACTAAGCGCTTTTCATCATCTTTTATTATGCACGCAGCCCAGGAATGGAATTCCCTGTCTGCGTTTGTATTTCCGAACAGGCACCGTAGTGGTCACGAGCAAGTCCATTTAATTTAAAAAAAAAGCCGACAGCATTGAAGAACTGAAGGACTTTCCTGGCTCCCACAGATTTAATGTCCTCTGGTTCCACAACCATGTGCCTTCCCAGTATATAGTTTCGGATGCCCATCAGGAGGTAACATTGGGTGAGAAGAAGAGCAGGAGTTTCATCCGCTTTGTGGCAGAATCTACACTCTCTATTCTCTCTCTGCCCAATAAGACATGTGCTTGTTCAAGCCACAGTGTCCTGTTAAGACTCTAGTGAGCATTCTCATGCAATTTCGGTCCAATGACAGTTTCTCTACAGTGTTTGGCACTGTAGGCAGCTATCAGGGCTTTTAAATACTCAAGACTCTTACTCTGCAGCCACACTTGTCGGGAGACGTGTGTGCACTCGTTCAGCAGGGTGAGCTTTGCCAGGTTGAATGCTATCCTTACAAAGGGTTCGGGTTCAATAAAGGTTTCCCTAGCACCAACCTTTGCCAGTTCGTCCGCTGCCTCATTTCACTCGACGTCAGAGTGACCTGGAACCCAGCGCAGGACCACTTTATTCCTTTCCTCGAGAGCATTCAGTATAGTAACACAATTCTCAGTTTTGAAGGATTAAGGGTGCAGGAAAAATTACAGACACATGAGACTTGTTAACTTATGTCTCAGGGTGACGGGCGCAGTGGCAGTGCCCCTCAGATTTTTGCGATTTAAAGCTCTGAGTAGCACTGGTATGGACAGGCGTGTAGCTTACACTTGACTTGTTCGTACTATTTGATATTATAAAAAAAGGACTTAAATTCAATTCTACGTCTCTTGCTATAAAAACGATCCAAAGTCCAAAGTGTTAGGTTTTTGACAGTATACAAGAAGTAAATAAAATGGGCTTCCCTCCACATCTAAATATTTACAAGCAGTGCAATAATAGGAACTGAAACTAGTTTTCCGGATCTAAATCACGTGTATTATATGTATTTTATATATACATATATACCTATATATTAATAACCAATGTTTCGGGCCCATGGTCACGGCTGACAAGGGCCTGAAACGTTGTTTTGTTTAAAAAAAAAAAAAACAAATTGTATGCGATTTGGATATGGAAAAATAGTTTCATTTCCTATGTGTAACAATCGTGAATACCTAAAAGCTCGAAGCTTAATTTATACTAATCAACGGTAGAAATATCATGTTTATGACAAAAGTAGATGGATACCAGTTTAAAGTTAATACATTTTGAATGTGTCACTTTCTTCCACAGAAAACTTAAGACTCATGTAACTTATGTCTCAGGGTGACAGTATTCGTAAGATATTTGCGATTTAAAATTCTGAGTGGCATTGCAATTACTATGGATAGGCCGGTGTCGTTTTGCACCCAGGCGCATGGCTAGGTCGTCCCGTCACTTGGTATTATAAAAAAAACACCTCAAATGTCTTTGGTTGATTTCACATAACAATGAAAGTGTTGAATTTATACACTACGTTGAACTTTTACATTTTTGAAATGGCTTCAATTTTGTTTGTAAAATAATAACTTCTGGAATAAAGCCAGTGTCTCTGCCGTTCGACTCTACAAAATTAACAGTATTGGTACGGGAAAAATTTTAATTTGAGCTGAGGTAGTATAGACTCTTAACATACAGTCTCAAAAACTAAAATATTTAAGTTACCTATAAAGTTGATCATAAACGGGCAAACGCCACAAATTGTTGACCTTATATACAAAGAGAGATGAAAATTAAAAAAAAAAAATGCTTACCTGAATTATCAACTTGTAGGATAATAAACTGTACTCATTTTGATGGTAGATCGATCACTTTTAATTTAATTCATTGATTTATAAACTGCGATTTGTTGTTGGTCAATTACTTTTCCGTGACGTTCGAGAAAGACATTTGTCATTTTCGCTTCAGACCACGGAGAAGGTTTAATAACGTTTTCAGGCAGGATCTCCAGCTTCCAAGGAGTTTTACGAGGCGAGGGGTGTGGTCTAAAACTTGATGTCCAAGTAAAAGTTGATGACGTTGTAGAGTATCGAATATCTTTCTTGAAAGTGCATTTATGATGAATAAATTCAGAGTTTTAACTTCTAGAAATCCATATGAATATGCCATCATCATTAATAGCTTACATGCGTCCACTGCTGGACATAAGTCTCCCCCTAAAGTTAGCTTCTCAGGTCCCGCGGTATCACAGGCCGCGCAGCGCGCCTTGGAGAAAGGACCACTTGCCTGCAGGGGTTCTCAAAGTGGCGGCTCGAGAGCTCGTGCGTTTGGCAATTATTCCTTGTCTGACAGCGTTTATTTTAATAATTAGTATGGATCGGTAAAGCAAACTACGCATGTTCATTTCAATAAAAATCTTAAGAACTTGTCTCGACCTACTCTTATTGAACGATAGCACCCAGTGGCGTCTTTTCTTCTGGTTCTTTTTGGTTAAGTAAGTTGAATCCACTGTATAATACAAAAGTACCACCAGGCCACCTTTGTCAGGTCGCCCGTCCATCTTGTCGCAGGCCGTAAATATATGTCCCAACATCAAAATATCACGATTAATAATAGTGAACGTAAAGAACTATATATACGAAAAAACTTCAAAGTAAATTCTTTCAGACACTTCAAAAACTCTTTCAAATCTTTAACACAACTTATAGCTATATTAACGGAATATTAACTCCAATATACCTACTAAATAACTAAATTACACATAACTGGTTTAATAAGGCGCTGTAACTTATCGTTTTCCCTTCTTTTTCTTCTTATTAAAGTCAGGTGGATGAAACCCTCTTGCTTGTAACAACTCCTGGACGTTATGGCAAGCGTAATAGACGTTATTCATAGCTGCATCGGTTAACATGTCCACGTTACATCGTCCTTTGGATTTTCCTTTCTTGCCTCGACCACCCCCGCCTCCTTTTTTTCCTTTTTTCTTTTCTTCACCACCTTCAGCTTTTTCTTTCTTCTCTTTTTTCTTCCCTTTTCCTTTTCCTGCCATGATTTCGTATAATTCCAAAGAGCGTTGACAGTCCTAATGTATCGATTATACGCTTGGTTGCTATGTCCCAAAGTACGTAGTTATCTAACAGTAACGTCTCTGGCAGTATGCTTTTTTGCAAATAAAATTTTAAGCATTCAAATTAAATTATAAACCCTGAGTTTTTCGATTGTTAAGTCAAATAAAGAATGTGAATAATACGGTAACAGTCTCCCTTGTGCAAATTTTAATGCTTCATTTCGAAACTTAATTCTGTGCCTCTAGTGAAAAGGGGTACAAGTAAAAAAAACGACTTTACAAGGAGACGCGATATTAAGTGTTAAGTGTTTTTCGCGTTTCTTTGTAAAGTTTTTTTGACTTGTACCCCTTTTCACTAGAGTCACAGAATTAAGGCAAGCTCAGGGACAATGCGGACTGCAATGTAATCAACGTACTGGGTCATTTTGTCATTTTCAGGAAGGTTGCTCTACCTAATCTCGGTAAATTTCAATTTTTATTATTTAAATATTCGAGTAAATTATCATTCCAGGTTGCTACACTCGAATATTAAATAATACTTCAAGATAATATTCTGCAATACTTAAATAATATTGCTATTAAAATTACGAAGAGAAAACTAACTTGAAAATTACCCGCCTACTGTTTCATAATTTATGACATTCTTAGAATCAAGTACTTAAGTATTCGCGATGGTTACACATTGATTTAACTGCCTCTGTGGCCGAACGGTTACCATGTCGGACTGCCACGCCGAGGTCCCAGGTTTGATTCCCGGACCGTGAGAAATATTTGTGTGGCCTGCATTTATTTCTCCCGTGAGTTTGGGTCTAATTTGTGTGTTTGTGTGTATCCATGGCACCCGCGACACAGAGTCTCCGTAGTGCGGTGCTATGTTGAGTGTGTGGGTTATTATTATTATATTATATTGGAAAGTGAAACAATTTTTAAGCGACTTCAAAAAAGGAGTAGCGTCTCAATTCCTCTGTATTTCTGTTTTTTGTATGTTATCCAAGTACTCGTACATTTGTCAATCGATTTTTACGATTCTTTTTCGTCTGAAAGGGGTTACCTCAGTAGTGGCCCCGTTAGTTAATAAAAATTTTGATAAAGTGAAATAGCGCAGCACTTAGACGTATGGAAGAGTTAATAACACTGAAAATGTTTATGAATAATTTATTTTAATTCACATTTTTCGAACACATTTGAGTTTTATATCTATAAATTTGATATTGCAATATAAAAAATTAAAGGTCAATTTGGAGGATGCCGACTAAATAAAATAATAATATTTTTAACCAATTTATTTACAACAACTGAATCTCTCTATCTACAGTATCTATAAAATATGAATACAATTCGCTGACGAAAATAGTTAAAAAAGAGTGTCCTAAGTCGGTTAAATAGAACATGGAAAGAAAATGAATTTATTGAATTGGTCTATAAAAAGATGGAGGTGAAAAATATCCATTATCCCTTATCTTAACTTTCTTGGCTTCTTTTGGATTTACATAAGACGACTTTGAAAGCCAAAGTACAAGTAATTTGTTATTCTAAACAGCGGAAGGTATACCTTGAGTACATGTTATAGCTTCTTTTTTATTTAAATTGAGTTAAATTATATTCTGGACAAAATCGGAAACCCGGACCACTTAGTATACTGAAGACACAGAATTATTATAGCCCAAGAAAGGATTCAACGCGTTAATCATAGCGTAGAGCTGTGTAAAGTAGACGTCGATGGGGAATAAACGCAGAACAATAATCACAGTAGAAATGGTTAGTTAGCGTCTGACGCGTGCCACCTATAGGTTTAAGACCTATCTGAGCTCAGATCGCCATTTTCGCTTTGTACGGTGTGGTTGTGTCATAATTTCATGCAAATTCTCTAAACTCCTAGAAAAATGCCTTATTGTGCTGTTTTGGAGTGCAAAAATGATA